ATCCCTCCCTTTAACACACACAGCAGTCTGAGGGGATATCCCTTTAAGAATGTCCCAGGTGTGCATGTGCAGGGAAGAGGCTCTTCATCATCCTTGTCCACCCACTCCCACTGTTCTTCGTTAGGCACAAAATTCCAATTTTTTTTCTTCTGCTATATCCTTTATTCATTTTGCTCATTATTTCTCATCTTCCACATACTCTTTCTCTTCATATTGGAATGGTATGATCCCTTGTAGGTCTTTGTATTGGTCAGCAGCTTTCTTCCAGTGCAGCAATTGGCACTGAGCAGAGTTGGCATCGAGGAAATGTTTTTCGTCCAATACTCCTATATAGTTGAATTTGGCTCTGGTTCAAACCTTCTGCTACTATTTATTGTCTGCATTTACTACGCCTTTATACAGCTTCTGGTGGCGCCCGCGAATGCCTCCCTGTTTGCGTTTGGCACGATGCCATCTCTGTGTTTGGTCTCTCCCTTGAGGGGATGCCATTGCCAAAACATTTAAAGGCATCCGAAACGGTCCTGCTCACCGTATGGAGGTTTGAGTTTGCCAATGTGTGCGTTATGTTGGCTTGGCAGCGTGCCATCTTTCTCCTCGTGCCCTTGCCGCCCCAGAAAAAATGCCATCACAGAATCGCTGGCAACCGTTGCCTGGGCACCTCTTCTTGGCTTTGTCCAAGCAAACAAACGGCGATTAGCAGCAAATCCTCAGAGGTGAGTCCTCTTGTCTTTGACGAAGACAGTTCTCCGCCGACCACTTTGATCGCTCCGGGTATGCCACGACTGCAAGCTGGCATGGCGCCCACTGGCTGGCACGATGTGGCTGGCATTGAGTGAAAGAAAATTGGAAAAATTAATGGAATGTAGGATTTTCCACCGACATTTTTCTTCGTATGATCAACGGTCATCACCATGTTACAGTTTACGGTTTCATAGTATCATCCATTTTGCTCCTTCTATGCTTCCCTTCACCCAGCTACATCTGAGTCATCATGTGTCTTCTGGCATCGTCCTCATTTCTATGCTCTGCTGTCCTCTGATATCTTCTGTATCTTCCTTTTCTCTGTCCGCTTTGCCGTTCGTTTCGCCCCATTGTGCCTGTGCCAAGGTGGCACCATGGTAGCAGTATGGAGATCTGTTTCTCTTCCTCTTCTATTCTTATTGTCCTCACCCCTTCGCCCATGCCCATGCCCGCCCCCGCTCAAGTCCTGACTGGATGGCACTGTGCCAACCTGCCACCGCCATCGCTCTCATTTGTAGCTCATCCCTCCGTTGCCCTTCCCCCTGTCTCTACGTTTCCATCCCTCTCTCTTCTCCTCATCCACTTTCTAAATCATTTATCCTATGTGTGTATAAAATGCTGCATTTGTAAATGAACACAACATTAGCTAATTGACACATATACAACTTTTCCTTTCTCAAATGCGCCGCAAATCGTCGGTCTTTGTTGTCATTTGGAAGACTTTTTTGGCACCTGAAGGAATGCTCAGAGTTACTGCCCTGCTTTTAATTACCGCAGCAGTTACTTATTCCACCGAGACAAGAGGAGAAAGACGAAGAGGCCCCTGAGTTTGGATAAAGCTTGTGTTGTTTTAATTAACTTTTACCAACCCCCATCATGTGTGCTTTTGTTTCATCTCTAAGAGCCTTATGCAGGTTGTGCTTGTTCACACACACACTATACATTAATACAATTGATCCGATTATCAATGAAATCAACTGTGTACCATTGACCTCGCCCACTTTTCTAAAATGACCCTTGTTTCTTTGTCCTCCTCTTTAAAATATCGTATGTCAAACAATAGCTGCCAGTGGTGGTGGAGCCATTAAGCAAATACTCTCATTAGTACACAAAACATAATGAATATGTAAATGATGTGTGTAATTTATGCATGGGCTGAGAGACTTGTTCTCTTTTCAATCCTCCATTGTAATCACTCTATGTATATCCCCTTTCCTTAAAACTTGACACTTTTACACCAATTTTCCTCTTTTCTTAGACCACCAACTGTGAATAAATTCACGGGGGACTTCTTGAGGTCTCACTATTATCTCTTTTATTTTGTGTTTTTAACACATTTCTCCTCGCCTTTAACCATGGTTTGTAGTGTATAATGGTCTCTCAGAGTCTCTCTGTTTGCTTCTTCCTGCTCACAGCTTCCTCTCCAAAAACAAACCCTGCAGTGACGCATTAAACCAACAACTGAGTGTTTGAACAAGGTCTTTCTTCCAGGAATATGAATACTGAACGTTCTATCCATTAAATCACGTCGGCACTAGACTGTGTTTTATGCTGTATTTTGTCTTTGTCCCTTTGTGACTGCGTTGATCTTAATGTGTGGTCCAAACTGTGTGGTAAATTCAAGCTCGCCCTGATAGACGGTGAGTATAGCCTTGCTCCTGCCTAGGATAAACACCTATAATACTCTGGCTCCCTTGGCAATCACCATAGCAACAAACCATGGTACCCACGTGAGTTGCATAATAAGATGTTCTCCAAGAGCACGGACCATAAAGCGGCGACAAACTAGACACCCGCAACAATGATTTCAGAAAATAAGTATTCAAATGTCCAAGTTATCAATAGGCTTGCATCACATAACAAACACTGTCAGATGCTCATGCACCTTCTCTCCGTCTCTCCAGACCTTAACAGGTGCTGATGAGCCGCAGTCAATGATTGTAATGAGCTATCGATCACCGTGGGAAAACCAAGGGACAGAGAGGGGTGAGGGAGGTAGGGGGAACCAGAGGACACACACACACACACAGAAGGAAGTGGACTGCCAGGGAAAAAAAAAACTACAAATGAACTTAATGGAGACAAGCTACAGGAGACAGGGTATCAATACTTGCTTTAATCAAGTCCTTATCTCCTATTGTTCTGCTTAAAATAGAATGTATGGGGAGGTGCTTTTTTGCCAGCGCAGGTTGAATGGAAGTGTTCAACTGAGAGCAGCTTCTGGACAGGCTGATCTGCTCAGGATGACCATGCAGACATGGTTGTCATGACTGAGTTCAGATGCCAGTGAATGGCACTGACGCAGTATCTCTATTTTCCTCTTTTTGTGCTGTGTGCATGGAGTTGAGGCAGACAGCTTTAGGGAAGGGGGAGGTGCGTTGTGTGTGCGTGTGTGTGTGTGTCGTGTGTGTTGGCTGGCGTTTCAGATAATGAAATGCAGCAGGGAACAAAGAGCTGGGGCCCCTATTCTCTGTGCTGCAGCTTCATTTTCACTCCCGTCAGTCTATGATTCTTCTATACCCTCTTTCTTGTGTACGTGTATGTGTGTGTTTATGTTTGTATGAGCGGTTTGTTGCATGTACCAGTGTCCCCTCCTCCTCCTGTTAGTATTCTGCATGGCAGATCCCCCTAATGTAATAACTGTGTCTGCATGTCTAATTTACAGCAGGAGAGAGTAAATAGCCTGTGGTTAATTACAGTACGTGTGTGTGTGTGTGTGTGTGTGTGTGTGTGTGTGTGTGTGTGTGTG